GTGGTGGCTACTGCCTGTACTCCCAGGACTCTGGAAGGCCAAGGCAGGCAGATCACTTGAGGTCAGGAGTTCGAGACCAGCTTGGGCAACATGGTGAAACCCCATGTCCACCAAAAAATTTTAAAAAATTAGGGCCAGGCACTGTGGCTCACGCCTAAAATCCCAGCACTTTGGGAGGCGGAGGTGAGTGAATCACAAGGTCAGGAGTTCAAGACTAGCCTGGCCAACACAGTGAAATCCCGTCTCTAAAAAAATAAATAAATAAAAATTAGCCAGACATGGTGGCGTGTGCATGTAGTCCCCAGCTACTCAGGAGGCTGAGGCAGGAGAATCACTCAAAACCAGGAGGTAGAGGTTGCAGTGAGCAGAGGTCATGCCACTGCACTCCAGCCTGGGTGACAGAACGAGACTCTGTTTCAAAAAAAAAAAAAAAAAAAAAAAATGTAAAAGCTGTTGGAACCCAAAACCACTTAAGCCGAGAGGTGACTGATGAGAGCCACGCAGCCTGTTTTGCAGTTCTCCTTCAGACTGGAGCTTAACCTCCCACCGCATTGTTCCCGTTCTATATATGATGAGGAAAGACAGAGACCAGAACTCCCCCTCCCAATCACTGACCTTATTGTAGATTAACTGCCCCCTTTATTGGCCTGTACCTAACTCAGACCAGATGGCGTCCTGAACAGAGACCATGTGGCATGATCATAACTCAATGCAGCCTCGAACTCCTGGGCTCAAGCAATCCTCCCACCTCAGCTTCCCGAGGAGCTGGGACTACAGGCACGCACCACTATGCCTGGTTTATCTTTGTTTTTAAGAGATGGGGGTCTTGCTATATTGCCCAGGCTGGTCTATGAACCCCTGGCTTTAAGTGATCCTCCCACTTTGGCCTCTCAAAGTGCTGGGATTATAGGTATGAACCAGTGCTACCTGGCCAAGGGCATGTTTAGTGATGCCTGGCCTCCCTGCCTCCCTAGGGCCTAGGTTTCTCCCCTCCAGAGCCTCCCAGAGGTGACAGTGGCTCAGGCCACTGTCCAGTCCTGGGCTGGATGCAGTCCGCATGGCTTTGTGCACTGCCTGACTCCTCTCAGGAGACCCAGCTCTGGCACGACTTTGTGTCTCACAGCTCCAGTAGCTGTAGGCCCATCAGTCTCAGTCCCCAGAAGACTACGGAAGGCTGCTGGAGAAGCGATCATGAGAAGGTGCCCCTGTGGCAAGTAGCGACCTATGGGCCAAAGTAGGGAGCTTTGGGGAGAGTCTCCAAGTCCTAGAAAGTCCTCTCCCTCCAGCCTACAGCCTCCCCTCCCTGCCTCCACCTGGAAGTTCAGCTCATCCCTCTTGCCACGTGGTGCTGATGAAGCCATCCTTGTGCTGAGGAAGGGGAGGGCAGGTCTCCAAGCTGACACCCTTTGTGGGCGCCAGGCTGCCCGAGAGGCTGTGGGTCCATCAAGCTGGGAATTCAGAGCTATCCCTTGCAATGGCCCTGGGGAAAAGAGAGTAGAAACTGGGGAGGCATGGGGAGGCCCCGGATCAGCTGGGAGCACCGTGGGAATTTTTGCTCGCCTAGGCTCCTGCGGGAGCAGCTGTTCAGGTGGGGAAGGGGCAGTGTCCAGCAGGAGCAGGGGCATTGAGTTGGGCTGGAAGGGCACTGGGCCAGGCCTCTTCCCCCGAGGCCTCAGTGTCAGTGTCATCTGCAGTCCTGGGCTGTTGAGAAATGCTGAGTGTATGATAAAGCACATTGTTTGCTGAGAACAATGGCAAGGAAAACCTGGCAGCCCCCCTCCCCTCTGCCAGTGGAAAACTGCTTGGGGCACTCTAAAGTAGCAAAACAGTGTATGTATATCATACACCAGTTAAAACAATTCTTTAAGCATGGGATATGTGACCCTGCCCCCGGGGCTCCCTCGTGGAGAATACTTGCTGGTTTGTCTGTGATCAGTGGTAAGCAGGCACCTACCTGCTTTATTTTTGAGAAAATAAAGCAGCTGCCTACCTAGTTTATTTTTGAGAAAACACAGAACACCTGTTTGTTAGTAATAATCACTGTTCAGAGAGAATAAATACGTGGGTCAGAGTCTGCTCGAGGCTCTAGGCTCAGAAGGCTGTTGGCCCCCTAGATAGTCCCACTTTTCTGTTCTATCTGGGAGTCTGCTTCTCAATGCCTTCAGTGCCAGCTGGGTGGGGGGTCTCTATGGCTGAGCTGGTCTCGGCACGGGGCAGCCACAGCTCCCTCGCTGTTGTGAGTGCACACAGGCTGAGGCCTATGCAGAAGCATGGGCATCTCTTCCCTCTGCCAGACACATTTCTGCCCTCCCAGGGCTGCTCTGCCTGAAGGGAACAGGCACCCTGGGAAGGACAGACCACCACAGGTGGGGTCCAGAGGTGTCAGAAATTCTAGTAGCTGCCTGCCCACCACACAAAGTGGCCGGGAGCTTCATGGGCCACCACTCACTAAGTGCCCCCAGCATCCCTGCACCAGGAACTTTACAGATGAGGTCTCACAAGCTGTTTCACAGAGCAGGGTTCAGGCCATTGGCCCAAGGTCCCACTGGAGGTCAGACAGAGCCCAAATGTGAGCTTACTTTGGACCTACCAATCACTTCTCTGAGCTTTTTCATCACCAACAGTAAAAACGCCCCCACCTCCCTGTGTTTCTGACCCCTCACAGTGCCCCCAAGGCTTGCTCATCCTCCTGCCCCCACCCCAAGAGTCCTGCAACTCACAATAAACCACACTTGCGGAAATACCACTGCCATCCACCTTGGCTATTGTCAGACTTTTTCAGGGTGGCGCTATAGCCATCCCTTGCTAAGTGCCAAGCCCTGGGAAGACAGGGATGGGGAGGACCTCCCCATTGTCCCAGGGAGTGCCTGGGCTGGTTGGGGAACACAGGCGGGCACCCAGGCCTGGCTGGCTGAGATTGGGGCTGGGGTTGGAGCTCATAGAGGCACCCAGCTGCCAGCCAAGGCCACACCCAGCTGGACCCCCTACCGCACCCATGCCAGGACACTGCCACCCCAGACCAAAGCTGCAGAACAGGCTTTGTGTGCCCAGGGTTAGTGCTGTCCTCCTGATCAGCACAAAGGAGAGGATGGCGATTTCCAGGGCCCTGACCCACACGAACGAAACACAGCATTTATTTCCACAAGAGGGAAAGAGTGGTCTCCCCAGAAGCCCAAAAGGTTGCCCTGAGAGCCAGGGGTCCTGCCTTCCATGGCCTAGGACTCCCCTGGGCCTGGGGCCTCAATGATGCCATCTGCCTTGGAGCAGGACCTGGTACTGGCACCCACAGGAAGAGGGCAGGGTCCCTTTAAGCCCAGTCTCACTACCTCAGCCTGTTGCTATGTACGGGACTAGCTTCCTTAGCAACCACCTGGCCGCTTCCTGGGGCCTGGAACCCTGGCTGCCATCAGCCATGGCTCCCAAAAAGAGTGTGAGTAAGGCAGGCAAGGAACTTGAGGTCAAGAAGAAGAAAGTGGGCAAGAAGGAGCCTGTGGTGGTTGTGGAGGCACCTCTGGCCACGGAGGTGAAGGAGTTCTACCACATCCAGATCCGAGACCTGGAGGACCGGCTGGCCCGGTGCGTGGGCTGGTGGCCAAGAGTCTGGTGCCCTGGGGCAGAAGCCCATGCCCAGGGCAGGTTTGACCAAGGGGCCCTAGGCCTGTGTTCTGGTCTCCCATGGGATGTCCAGACCCCACCCTACCCCAGCCTCATTTCCTCATATGTACCTTTGGGAGGTTTCAAGAGTTTGAGGGTAAATGGATTTCCCCACCTTCCCAGCTCCGAGAACCCTGGGCCCATGATGCTAACTCGTGGCCCTGCTCCAGGCAATCCCTGCTTTCCCCTGCCTCACTCCTGCCCCGTGGGACCACAAGCTTCACGAAAGGGTGGAAACAGCCCTCCAGCAGGCGGGGGAACCCCTGGCCCCACTTCCGCTTCCTGGCAGTGGCACCTGTGCTCCACTGACCCACTCAGCACATGAGCCCAATTGTTTCTCCACGCTGGGCCTCAGTTTACCCAAATGTAAGTGGGAAAGGTTTATTCCTCCTCCATGGCTGTGACATTCTGCTGTAGAACATTTTGTGTGTGACATGGTGGGGGTGGGGACAGCCTCGAACTCTTCATTTAGAGCCATGTTCATTTGCCCATCATTTTCTCACATTTCCTCCCAGTTATGAGGCACCAGCCCATCTCAGGATGACCTTAAAAGACAAGCAGGGGGCAGCTCTTCCCCAGGTGACTGATGCTGTGGGTAACCATAGCTAATGCTGAGTCCCTGGTGGTGCCAGGTGGGCCATGTGCTGGTGCAGAGTCCTCACAAAAGTCTTAATAAAGAGGTCCCAATGTCATCCGCATTGCACAGATGGGGGAGACTGAGGCTTAGAGAAGGAAAGTCACTTCTGGGAATAGGAGGCAACAGGATGGGAGCCCTGGCCTCCTGACTCCCCTGTGCAAGGCTGCTTTCTCAGGCCACAGCCCTGAAGTGCTCTGTGTGCAGTCACCACTTGAAAGATGCTGGTCACCTAAATTACGATGGAAAACAACTTTCCAAGTATCTTCAGTTATTTCATTGGAAACCAGTAAATTCGTTATGTGATGCTGATTAAAATTAACAAACTTCCCTTGAGCTGAGACATCAGGTAGAATGTATTCAAGGAAAATGTATTTAGCAGAGTTATTGGGTGCTTACTATTTGCCAAGCGGTCTGTCAGGCTCTGAGAATACAGAGGTGAAGGAGAGGGGCATGTTATTAGATTTCAACCACCCAGTGGGACAAGGGCCAACTTACAGGAGAGCACCAAAGACAGGGCTACAAATGTGGCTCAGGGCCAAGAAGGGTCCACTAGAGTTACTGGATGGAAAAAGATAAGGGAGACGGCAGGTACAAAGACTTGGGATTTGAAAGCGTGGGAGAGTTATCAGGCATGCAGAGCTGGCCGACCACAGCAGGCGGCATTGTGGCTAAAAGCTTTGATTCTGGGGGTCAAACTGACTCATGTTCAAATCCTGGCTTTGCCACTTACAAACTCAGAGTTCCTTTATCCTTCTGAGCCTCAGTTTTCTCATCTGTCAAATAGTTATAATCATCATAGTACCTACATTTTTTTTTTTTTTTTTTTTNAATTCCTGAGCTCAAGCAATCCTCCTGCCTCAGTCTCCTGAGTAGTTGGAACTACAGGCATGCACCATCACACCTGGCTAATTTAACAAATGTTTTGAGACAGTCTTGCTTTGTCACCCAGGCTGGAGTACAGTGGAACAATCTCAGCTCACTGCAACCTCCACCTCCCGGGTTCAAGCGATTCTCCTGCCTCAGCCTACTGAGTAGCTGGAATTACAGGCACGCACCACCATGCCCAGCTAATTTTTGTAGTTTCAGTACAGAAAGGGTTTCACAATTTTGGTCAGGCTAGCATTGAACTCCTGATCTCATGAGCCGCCCGCCTCGGCCTCCTAAGGTACTGTGATTATAGGTGTGAGCCACTGCAGCTGGCCAGTACCTACATTCTTTTAAGTTGTTGTAACAATTTAATAAACATTGCACACCTGGTTATGTACCAGGCACAGGTGTTGGGGACAAACTTGAACATAACAAGGCCCTGCCCTCATGGAGTTTACATTCTAGTGGTATAATAAAAATAACATGCTAAGCACAGGCATTGGCTTTGGTCATAACTGCCAGATCAGGGGAAATAGTGGGAGATTAGGCTGGATTCTCATCACAAGGAATCTCAAGTGCCGCTTTACGGGACAGGGGTCCAGGAGTGGGTCCAGCTACACTGCAGGCCTGGCTTGCCCAGCCTGACCCCTGGACCACTGCCCTGCCCCTGCCCCAGGTACCAGCGGAAGTGGGATGAGCTGGCTGTGCAGGAGAAGCTGTTCCGCCAAGAGTTCGAGCAGCTGGCCAACAACAAGAAGGAGATTGTGGCCTTCCTCAAGCGCACACTCAACCAGCAGGTGGATGAGATCACGGACCTCAACGAGCAGCTCCAGAACCTGCAGCTGGCCAAGGAGATGGAGAAGGATGCCTTCGAGGCGCAGCTAGCCCAGGTGCGCCACGAGTTCCAGGAGACCAAGGACCAGCTCACCACAGAGAATATCGCCCTTGGTGAGGAGGGGACTGGCTGGTGAGCCTGCAGGCACCCATGACGGGGACAGAACACAGGGCTCACATCCCAGCTCTATTGCTGACCCTGTTTCTCACCTGAGAAACAGGGAGAATAGCCACGTGCTGCTTGGCACACACTGTCTTCCTTAACTGTCCCAGCAGTCCTACAAAGCTGGAAACATCCCCCAACCAGTTTGTAGATGAGGACGCACCTCAAAAGGTGAAGTGTTGTGACCAAGGTCCCCCAGTTGGCAAGGGTTGTGAGGCTCAAATGTCAGATGGCATTAGAACCTGGCCCAGAGAATATATACAGTCCAGCTGCTGGCCAGGTGTGGCGGCCCATGCCTGTAAACCCTGTGCTTAGGAGGCTAAGGCGGGAGGATTGTTTGAGCCCAGGAACTCGGGACCAGCCTAGGTAACATAGTGAGACTCCACCTCTACCAAAAAAATAGAAAAATTAGCCAGGTGTGGTGGTGCCTGTATGTAGTCCCAGCTACTTGGGAGGCTGAGGTGGGAGGATCTCTTGAGCCTGGGAGGTTGAGTGAGCTGTGATTGTGCCACTGCACTCCAGCCTGAGTGACAGAGCAAGATCCCGTCTCAAAAAAAAAAAAAAAAAATGCAGTTGCTGTTGTCACTGTTATTTTCATGAGAGTATCAAGGGAGGCTTCTTGAAGGAGGCAGAACCTGAACAAAGCTTCATAACATTCATGGAGGGGAAGAGGGAGGGAGCCCGGATGAAGGCAGTAAAGGTGGCAGGGCCAGGCAGGGCAGGTAAGGGATGGTAGACCTGCCCCACTGAGTCAGACGGCACCGGGCACACAGGAAGGGACAGGGGCCTAAGGGGCATCTTTAAGGCCCTCGCCAGGCCTTGTCCTCTGAGGCAACCCCTCATCGGGCCTTGTGCCCTGTGGTGGCCAGGAGGGAAGCTGGTAGCCCTGGAGGAGTTCCGGCTGCAGAAAGACGATATCATGGACAAGTTCACATTGCTGGAGGACCAGGTGCAGAAGCAGGAGAATGAATTCAGGGACTATGCGTACGACCTGGAGAAGAAGTCAGTGCTGGACAAGGACAGGTGGGCAAGCGGAGCCTCTGGAGCCTTCACCCCTGGGGCCATGAACATCCTAGTCTTCAGGCCTCAGCTTCTAACTGGGAGGTTAGATGGGTAACTGACCCCCCCTCCCCAACCTGCTACTCCTTGGAATCCCAGCTGGTGATTATGGAGAGGTGTGTGAAAAGGAATCAGCTCCCAGATGCAGTCCTCTTGCTGGCACTGGAGACTCCCAGGGCTTCCATTTGCCACTTATTGGGATTAAATAATTTTTATTTAATAGTTGAGAGCACACTGAAATGGTACCAGTTCCAAAGGTCCAAGGCATGCAGGTGTTTCACACCCCTAGGGGCTCTGGAAACCTCACAAAGGAAAGGGGTGTGCCCAGGACTTGTGCCCACTCTTTCCTCAGTCCGGCCCCCCTCCCCTCCTGTCTTTCTGGCCAGACTGAGGAAAGAAATCATCCAACGCGTGAACGTCGTGGCCAATGAGTTCCGCAAGGTGACCACAAACCGGATGTGGGAGACAACCAAACGGGCCATCACGGAGAACAACAGCATTACCCTACAGATCGCCAGGATCTCCCGGCAAGGCGCGCAGCTGCTGCAGGAGAATGAGCAGCTCAAGCGAAGTCAGGACTATCTGTGCAAACAGGTGGAGCTGCTGGAGAACACGGAGAAGGTCATGGCCAGGCACAAAATTGGCTGCCAGAAGGTGTGCCTGCAGGCCTCAGCACAGGGCGTTTGCATGCAAGGCAGGAGGCGACCCCAGGGGCCTTGCAGGGGTGGAGTCGAGTCAGGAGAGAGGGAGGCAGTGGACAGAGGACTGGGCCTCCAGTGGGGGCTGAAGGGCAGTGGGCCTAACTCCGGATTTATTTACTCAAAGCCCCTGTAACTTATATAAGCAGAGCACAGCCCTGGAAAGCTTGGGGCTCTGTCCAGCGGCAGCACTGGCCGCTCTGCACAGTGGGGCCAATGAGGCCTGGCTGTGTCTGGAGCTGGGGACAGGGCTGGCTGAGGGCATGGCCACCTGCCCGCACCCACAGGTCATCCTTATGCTGACCAAGAAGTGCCAGGAGCAGCAGCAGGGCACCAAGGAGGCCAAGGAGCTGCGCCTCCTGCTGAGCCAGTTGGAGCAGACAGTCTTGCAGCTGCAGGTGGACAACCAGGCACTGACGTGCGTATAGCCTGAGGAGGGGCAGGCGGCAGGGGGCGGGTGCAGGCTGGGGCCAAGCTCCAGCCCAGCTCTTTCTGACCCCACGACCTGGGCCAGTGACTTCCTCTCTCTAGAGGAAACTGCTAGACCGGCTGAGGCTTGGGGCTGGCTGGGGGTCCCTGTGGGCTTGGAGAGAAATGGGAGGGCCCCTGGCCCCAGGTGGCACCAGTCCTGGGGAAGGGGGAACGCTGTTGACTCATTGGGGCCCAGGAGCCAGAGAGACCAGCTGAGCCTGCAGCTGGAGCAGCGGCAGGTGGACTTGCGGAGGCTAGTGCAGGAACTGGCTGATGAGCAGAAGGTTCGGGCCAGCCTGGAGGCGGCCCTGGCCCAGGCCACCTCCTTCCTACAGAGCATTCTGCAGGTGAGCAGAAGGGAGGGAGGGAGGGTGTCAGGGGAAGGGGAGTGAGCCCAAGATGGAAGCTGCTTGCAGAGAAGGGACTGCCTCAGGGTCAGAGGCCCCTCTTCCCTGAGAGCCTCCCAGAAAGTCTGTCCTTTGCTGATTCTGGCCTTTTCTGAGGAGGTGGATTCCTTCTCTGAGGCTCTGAAAGGTCTCGGGACTCAGTCTTCCTGAATGGAGAATGGGTATCCCACCACATTCAGGGAACACTTTGTGGAAACGGGCACTGAAGTTGGAATTTCTTGGAGGAGTATGGGTACTGGGGCCACTGTGGACCTGCTGCCACCCCACCCTCACCCACAGATGCGCCCTGATGAACAGGACAGCGAATTAGACGTGACGTTCCAGCCGTGGCACAAGGAGATGCTGCAGCAACTGCTGGTCATGCTCGGCTCCACTGTGGTCCTGAGATCCCAGAAGGCTATGTGTCCCCACCAGGAGTCACAGTCCCATGGTCCACCCAAGGAGAGGTGAGCCTTCAAGCTCATGCTCAGCTCACTCTGGGACAAAACCCAGGCTCGCCGAAGTCTCTGTGACCCTCAGCCCCTTCCCCACAGCCAGCCCAGCATCCAGCTGCCCAGGACTGGGTCTCTGCTGCCGAAGCTCTCTCACATCACACCCTACCGGCCGGGGGATCTAGGCCTGGTACCTCGCCAGGCCCGCATCCCACCCAGCACCCAGGACCTCAGACTGCTGTCATATATCACCCGTGTGGGGACCTTCCGGGCACACAGCAGTCACGAGGTGAGGGTGCTAGGGGCCCCAGGGATAGCAAGGTGGCAGCAAGTCCTGGGTACAAACGAAGGATCTGCCAGGCCACAGCTGTGTGGCCTGGGGATGTAACCAGACCTCTCTGAGCCTTCCCATCTGTAAAATGGGCTGAAGAAAGGAGTGTCTGGGTCTCAGTGGGCCAAGGCATGCCCACACCTGCCCTGGGAGCAGGGCTGGCTGGATCCTGTTGTCCCCTCCCCACCGCTAAGGGAAGAGTGAGATCTCCCTGAAGAGGCCTTAGCTTCCAAGCTAGCATCTTTTTTTTTTTTTTTATTTTTTTTTTTTTTTTTTTTGAGACGGAGTTTCCTTCTTTTCCCCTGGGTTGGAGTGCAGTGCCACAATCTCAGCTCACGGCAACCTCTGCCTCCCAGGTTCAAGAGTTTCTCCTGCCTCAGCCTCCCAAGTAGCTGGGATTATAGATGCCTGTCACCACACCTCGCTAATTTTTGTATTTTTAGTAGAGATGGGGTTTCACCATGTTGGCCAGGCTGGTCTCGAACTCCTGACCTCAAGCAATCCACCCACCTCTGCCTCCCAAAGGACTTGCATTACAGGTGTGAGCCACCGAGCCTGGCCTCAAAGCCAGTATCTTTAATCTTACAGATCCATGCCCCTGGTTCTCTAAAAAGGCTCAAAAAGTTTAGTCTTCCTGAATTTCCCCTACGTCCCAAATAGGACACGGAGAGAACTGACTCCAGAAATGGACCATTCCAACCACAGTCACCCCCACTTTAATCTGTGGGCAGCCTGGAACAGTCTAAAGGAGAGCTGTATAAAAAGTAGATACCAAGGCTGGTGTGGCAGCTCTGTGACCAAGGCTGGTTTGTGGGCACCATAGTCAGGAGGGCAGCCATGGCCACTGGTGTCAGGGCCCCAGTGAGGGCCCCTGGCTTCGCTCACGGATGTGGTCCAAGATCAGGTCGGCAGCTCGATCCAGCAACAGAGGCAGCAGCTCCTGCTCAGCAGGGGAGAAGGAGCCCAGCACATGGGCCTGTACCGCCTCAGCGTGTGTCGGGCGCCCAATGCCCACCCGCAGCCTTGGCATTGCCTGTGGGAGAGCCAGAGAGGCCCAGGGAGCTTTGGTGAGGTGCTGGGGGACCCCTGGCCCATCCCACCCAGTTGCACGACAGAAGGGTAGACTCACATTGGAGTTGAGACAGCTAATGCAGGACCGCACTCCATTGTGGCCCCTTCAAGGGATATGGGAGGGGCAGTTAGTGCCTCCCTGGGGCAGCATCCTTCTACCCCTCCCTGCCCCAGCTGGGTCAGAGCAGCCCATCTCCTGTGGAGACCAGGTCAGCACCCCTACTCCACCCCAGCTGGGAGGCCTGCAGCCCTGTCCCAACCCTGACCATCTCAGGACCTCACCTGGCACTGCCCCCCAGCTTCAGAGCCAGTTTCCCCAGGGGCTTGTCCAGCTCATCATGCACCAGGTAGACTTCCTCGGCAGTCAGCCCAAACAGCTCAGCTTAGCACAGGGAAATGGCATCCCTGGTTACTGCTCATCTGCCCAGAGGAGCACCGTCCCAACTCCCATGAAGAGCGGGCACAACGAATCCCACTTCACATATAAACTAAGGCCTCCACAAGTACCCAAGGCCATGTAGCAACTGCAGCTCAACAGGCACTTGGAGGCGAACCCGCGGATCTGTCACAGCCAGGCCCCCTCTGGCCCCTGCGCGCCCACCCCCACCCCCGCGGCCTGCCCACCCACTCCTGGCGCCCTAAACTCACCAGCCCGGGCCACGCTGCGCCCGTTGGCGTTCATAAGCCGCCGTGGCCGGAGCAGGACCAGCTGAGCATCCCCGAGCAGGGCCAGAGCGAGGTCCGCGACACAGTGCCGGTCGCGCGTCCAACTCTCCGCCACACCCAACCGCCGCGCCAGCTGCCCCAGGACCGCCATGCCCACGCTGTGTCGCGTGCCGGGCAATCCGGGATTCCCCAGGCCAGCTACCTGCAGGCAGCACCAGGGAAACTGAGGCCCGACAACTCTAGCCACCCACTATCTCACAGCGTCCCATGGGCCCCAAAGCAGAGGGGCGGAAACGCAGAGCAGCGCTGCAGTGGGGAAAGGGCGCGGAGAGGGGGCCCAGACGCTCCACTCCCGAGGACTCCAGTAGGCTGGGCAGGCAGGGCGCCCTAGTGCAGGAGCGGAGCTTCTGGAAGTTTGGAGTCCGTCGAGCCCTGGACTCACCAGTTAAGAAAACAGAGCAGCAATTTGGAGGCACTCGGCCCGGGACATAATGGCCGAACTGAAGTTAGGGTCCGGGAGCCCATACGTGGCCGCCCCACGCCACTCACCATCCACCGCTTCCCCGGGGGCCGAGGCTCCAAAACGCACCGGCTCATGGCCCGATTCAGCCGCTGTCCGGAGAGCAAAAGGCCGTGCGGCCTCATGCTGCCCCCATTCACAGCCCGGACACCGGGCCCTGACGTCATAAGTCCACAGCCAATCGCGTTGCCACCTACCTGGCGTCAACCGCCAGCGTCCAATCCGGGCCGGGCTGCGTGGCCGCCTTGGTCCTGACGGGCGGAAGCGGCGAGGCGGTGTCCGTCTCCCCCAGCCCAGAGGCCTTCCGTGGCGCGGCGTCACAGTGTCCCCACGGGGTTTGTGTGGGACGCTCGGAGCTCTTGCTTGATGTTCGGTTGGGAGGCGGAAGCCTCGTTATGACCCCTGCTATGGCCCTGCCTTGCGGCGGAAGTCCGGCAAGTCCTTTCTCCATTGTAGGCCTCAACCTCCCCAGCTAATAAAAGTTTTCTACCCACTTCCGGCTCAAAAGACTTGGTTCCCGGGGGCGTGGCCAGAGGGGCGGGGCCTGTGGGCGTCCTGGTGATGGTGCCTAGCAACGTCGGGGCCCGGGGCCGCGAAGAAGTGGGCAGAGGTCTCGGGATCCTCTTGGAAGGGGCCTCATGACAGATTCCGACAAGGTGCGGGCTGGGGAGAAGACTAAAGCAAAGGCAGAGGGCCAGGCAGAGACACCGAGGCCGGATTCGCAGGAAAGGGTGAAGGCCAGAAGGGGCAGGAGCAGCAGTGCGATTCAGGGAAGGCCCTGGCCGCCTTGCCAAAAATCAGGGATGTGAGAGATCGTTGTAAGACTCGGCAGCTGCTGGGAAGGATGTCTCCGGCTTGGGTGGCTGGCGGGGAAGTGACCTCACCAAGGTGGGAGAGCCTGGGGCAGAAGTCAGATGAGGTGCTCGGTGTGGCCTGCTGGAGTGAGGGTAATTAAGGGTATCCAAGAGGCTCTAGGACCTCCAAGGCCTGAGACTTGGGACCGGACCTGAGCTGGAGACCTCAGAGCTTGGGGTGTCAGTAGCCGGAGGTGGGAGCTGGGAAGGCCCGAGGAGAGCAGATGGTGTTGTACGCGTGAGGACCCTGATCCCTGACCTTGACCACAGGAGAGGGAGAAAGGCAGGGCTGGAGAGGACCCCTTAGCATCTTCTAAGGGGAATGGGGTTAGGAGCACCACCCGACCCCCCCCCCCACAATGAGAGTGCCTCCTTCCAGGCCTCACTTCCGCCCCTCCTCCCTCCCTGGAGAATGTTGGGGAGTGTCAGTGGGTGGGGGTCGTCTCTGGGGCCTGCTCCAGCTTGCCATCCTTCTGTTCTAGGATGCCTTGAAGGTTGATCAGGCCCCGTCACAGGACATCCCAAAACCATGGGTGATTCCAGCCCCCAAAGGGGTCCTGCAGCGCATCTTTGGGACCAGCCAGGTGTTCCAAAGCATCTGTGAAGTAAAACCACAGGTTACGGGGTCAACAGTGCCCCTCAAAGTCAGGGAATAGTGAGTGACTACCTTGCTTTGGGATCCCAGGTTCTTGCCCGGCACAGCCATTCACATACCATGCAGCCTTGAGCCACTGACTCTCTTTGGGCCTCAGTGAACTCAACTGTCTAACGGGTCTCTTCTGCCTCAGTGGATAAGAGACTGGTGGCCTGGCTGGACTCCAGGAACATCAGCCTGCCCTCCCTGGGCTTCTGTGTACTCCTTCTGCCTCTCCACCCAGCTCCCCTGTCTCCCCCAACTCCCACCCCAGCCCTATGCCCTGGGCTAGTCCACAGTCAAGGCCAACCCTCTGCCTGTCCCCGCTTCCCCCACAGCTACTCCAGAGGCCAGCAGTGCTTGGAGCAGGCAGACTGGGAGACAGCCGTGCTGTTCTTCTCCCGCGCACTCCACCTGGAACCGCAGCTGGTGAGAGGCAGACCTGGGTGGGCACAGGCAGTTATGAAACATGCCTCGAAACCCTGTTGCACCTGCCAGATCCCTCCTCTCAGGACCACCAAGTCCCTGATGGAAATTGGGTGTCTAGCCTCAGGGGGACAGAGACTTTCCCCTACCCTCCAGGGGCAGATGGTGGGGAAGATCCAGCGGCCTGGGTCCTCTCACCCTCAGGTGGACTTCTACGCCTTGCGGGCTGAAGCCTACCTCCAGCTCTGTGACTTCTCCTCGGCCGCCCAGAACTTGCGAAGGGCCTACTCTTTACAGCAGGACAACAGCAAGCACCTGGAACGCCTCACCTTTGTGCTCTACCTGCAGGTGCCTGGGGCCACCCAGGCCCATGCGGGGCACCCGCCTCACACCACTGGCTCTCCCTCCCGCTGTGGGGGGCTCTCCTGGCTCCTGGGCCCAGCTCTGTCTCCTTGGGTTCCTCCTTGTCCCTGGGTCTGAGTCCCCACCTGCTGCCCCTCTGACCTCCCAGGCTGGTTTACTGCCAGGCTTGGCTCAAGTTTGGCAGCACTGCCCAATCGGGCTTTCTGCAATAACAACAGTGATCTACATGGCACTGTCCAATATGCTAGCCACCTGCCACGTGGAACGGTTGAGCCCTTGAAACGTGGCAAGTGTGACTAAAGAACTGAATTTTATATCTATTTTTATTTTAATTAATGTAAATGCGTATAGCTACACAATGCTATAGACAGCACAGATCTAGAGTCCCCAGGCTCCAAGCACTAAAAAGGTCACAGTGACCCCCAAGTGTATTTCAAAGTAAAAACAATATTAAACTATAAAACACCAACAAAGTCTTGTTTTCTTCCATTTTGACAGCCTTGATGTCTTTTTTTTTTTTTTTTTTTNTTTTTTTTGACACAGAGTCTTGCTCTGTTGCCAAGGCTGGAGGGCAGTGGCACGATCTCAGCTCACTGCAACCTCCACCTCCCGGGTTCAAATGATTCTCGTGCCTCAGCCTCCCAAGTAGCTGGGATTACAGAAGTGCACCACCATGCCCAGCTAATTTTTGTATTTTTAGTAGAGATGGGTTTTCACCATGTTGGCCAGGCTGGTCTCCAACTCCTGACCTTAAGTGCTCCGCCCACTTCCGCCTCTTGAAGTGCTGGGATTATAGGTTTGAGCCACCGCACCGGGTTGATGTCTTTTGTTTATGTAAAAAAATATTCAGTTCTTAAAAAGAAACATTTGGGGCCCTCAGACCGTGTGCTGAATCTGTCTGTTGGGGGCCTGTGTCTTACACTGCCACTTACTGTGTGCTCTTGTACAAGTCACTTCACCTCTCTCAGCCTCAGTTCCTTTATCCATAAGAGAAGCATGCCGGCCGGTCGCAGTGGCTCACGCCTGTAATCCCAGCACTTTGGGGGGCCAAGGCAGGTGAATCACAAGGTCAGGAGTTCAAGACCAGCCTGACCAACGTGGTGAAACTCCGTCTCTACTAAAAATA